CGCGCCACCGTGCTGCACAACGAAAAGTGAATGTGAACATGGAACATTTAGTTTTATGACGTGAAAAAGAAAAGCAGGAGTAATGGATTTCCAGCCTGAAGGAGCATAAGAGGAGAAGATGAGTTCAACAATTGTTCAAATGAAATTTTCAAACCTTGGCTTTCAGGCTCAAAAACACCATGCCATTAATAATTGCTCTTTTTCTTGGTAAAAAAAAAAAAGGGGGTTGCTACACTCTAACAGCACATTATGGCAGTAGCTAAAGCTTCCTCTGTTTTGTTTGTTGGTACATTAACAATCATTAAATTGGCTAAAATATTTTTACTAAGTTAGTTTCATTACTTCATCGTATTGGGACTGTTAGTACCTGTAGTTTTCTACAAAAATAACATGTACGTCATGTATGTTCCAGCTCTGCCACCTGCTAGTGGCTTTTTATTGTGTCTTGAGGAAATTGCTTCCTATATCAAGCCTTTGGGCCCCTAAATCCTTGTTTCCATTAATAGGGGTAAATATGTATGCGTATTGTTTTCTTTTACACTGAGAACCCCAGACAGTGCCAACAACAATCCGGTACATTGTTTCTTGAAGGGAAAAAAAGTTTCCTCTCGAGTTTGTCTTGGCCCCAAACAGTGTCGTCAGTGAGCTTTTAGACAATGATTGTTTTGCTACCTTGGGCTTGAAATTAAACAGTGATTAGGAGTTTAAAGCGGATAATATTGTTTTATAGGCCCCGCAGTAGCATTTATCAGAATAAGGTTGTGTTGGCACAACTCGATGGAATCAAAACAAAGTCGGCAACAACTCCTCTTTCCAGTAACAGAGTGTATTATCCTGTTTTATTCGCTGATCACACTTTGAACTGTTTCCTGTAAAACGTACGCTCTGCTTTACAAATTGAGTAAATGAAAAGTTGCTAATTCAAAGGTACAACGTCATGAAAAACAATAAAAAAAAAAAAAGCTTCACAAAGTTAAAAAGCAAAATTAGCTTTTTGCCTCATCTTGATGATTAATGTGCCGACAAACTAAATTGTTGCAAGCAAAATTTATATTCATTCAACCTTTATTTATACAGGTTAGTCCCATTGAGTCATGAGGACTCATTTTCAAGAGAGACCCGTTTTAGACAAACCACCGATAAGGTACACACAACAATAAACAGCCAATAAAATGCATATAAAATAAAAAGTAAATAGAAGTAGTGATATAAAACAAAATAAAATCAAACTAATATGAAACGAGTTAAAATACTAAAAACAGGGACGTCTGCATTGATTTTTGATTGTTTAAAATCCCTTAGAGCAGGGGTGTCCAGTCTTGGTCCTGGAAGGCTACTGTCACGTTTTAGAGGCTTCTCTGCTCCAACACACCTGATCTGAACAAATGGGTGATTAATAGCCTTCTGAAAAACATGACGAGGTAATTGAACCAATAAATCAAGTGTGTTGGAGCAGGAAAACAAGTAAAACATGCAGAAAAGTGGCCCCCCAGGACCAGGATTGGACACCCCTGCCTTAAAGAGATCAAAGTTGACAGCTTCAGACCTTTTTGCAAGGTGCTCCAGGTTACAGGAGCCGAGTAAGAGAAGGTCGTTTTGCTGAGTTCAGTCTGCACAGAGGGAACACTGCAGGTAATGATGTCTTGAGAGTGCACACATTTTTGGGGGGAAATTAGCTGTTCCTCTTCCTCCTGGACCAAATCTGCCGCTGCTGTTGCCGCTTCAACATTCGAAATTTCCTCCATTTTCTCAACCGCACTGTCTCTTTCACTTCTTGTTACAGACTGGATGGGGTGGAGTCACGTGACTACAGATTGCACGTAGCGCAGCGTCTTAAAGGGACATGAGCATAGCTTAGCTATACATAGCCCAAAGACAAAACGACTTTTCTGAAAATACTGACATGGGCAAAATGACGTCGATCACTGTTATAAATTTCGGTGTCGGTAAATTTTCGGTCTATTGCCCAGCCCTAAACTCAACAGGAGCAACATTCGTAGATAAGATGGAAGGAAGGAAGAACTGCTGGTACCAATTTCCTGTTTGAAAGCAACATCCCTTTGGTTTTGTCAGCATTTAGCACCAGTTTGAGACAGAACAAGTCTGACTGGATTATGTCAAATGTAGATTGTAAAAGCTGTAAAACCTTAGCAACTGTTTTAGCACGACAATAAACAACGGTATCGTCGGCATAGAAATGCAAGGATGCATCTGGAATGTTCCGACCTGCATTACTTATGTAGATTGTAAAGAGAGTGGGTCCTAAGACCGAACCTTGTGGTACACCATTGTTGACAGTTAAATAATAATAATAAGTACCATTGTGTTGGTATGAAACATGTGCAGCTGTCATGTATCACATGCTTTTGTTTACTTACGGAAATAGCCGATGTGACTAAAAAAAGCTCTGCAATACCAATGTTCATGGAGCATTTAGGATAGAAAAGTCTGTCAACTTTGATGCATTCGTACATACTTAGGCTCAGTTTTGCTGAGTAAAGTGTGCAGACATAAGTGCTTTGTTTACATTGAGTGTGTACCTGCATTTCAGAATTATATATCAATATATCTGGAAAACTACCACGGTCATATTTTTCAAAATGCATCTTCTGAGAAACATTTATTTTATGTTTAATATACCGTAGTTTGCAGCAGGTACCTTTTAAAAAAGACAGTTTATACTCTTGCATCAAACTGAAAATTGACACCTTAACCTTATTTTTTTAAGTCTACAAATACTTTGTTCTTCACTTGATTGCAAACAGGTTTGGCCTTATTTATTTGTCTTACTTATTTTGTCGTTGGAATACATCAAAAATGTTTCTAAATGGATCAGAGCACTCTGGGCACAGAGATGACTCAGTTTGTGCGCTCTTACAGCAGTTGAGGTTGATTTGTTTGGCACGTAAAATACTCTTGAAAAGACAGCTGTGCGTCTGCCTAGATTACATACCGGTAGATCAAAGAAGTCACATTTGTGTGTGCATGCAAATAAATCACGTTCAGATTATTTGGTCGTTCTGTGTTTTTGGAGAACACGGCAAAAGCAGCTTCACCTAAAAAAAAAAGGAGAAATTTACACAAGTCACAAGATGTTAAGAGCTCTGTAGGAACTTGTTGTCTACGAGCATTTTAATATAAAGAAAAGAAGCTTGTTAAACCAACTACACACACACCTCTTCCTTTTGCTCCTCCTGTCCACTTCACTGCATTCTTTCCCTCAATGTTTTGACCTCTCTAATGAGAGCGTTGCTCTCTTTTCCCAGACCTTTTGCCTGTGCTTGAGTGGGATGTTGTTGTGTTGAGAGTCTAATGGGATTACTGAAGTCAACCAAAACAAATGAGCCGTTGATTCGAAGTTCAAGAGCACACCGCGCTGATCACCCGTTAAGCTTCACGTTCAAATCTGCGTCTCTCTTTTTAAAAGGATAAACGGAGACCGCCGCCACAATGACTGAAACCTGTGTTTATTTTCCAAACAATAAGTGTTGATGGTCGTGCTCATTTAAGTTGCATCAAGTGAAGTTGAATTTATGGACATATCAGCAGAAGCTAAAACAACATTAGTAGCAGAAGCTTTTAAGGATGTTGGCATACGTTGTGATGTTAGGCAGCTCCTCAGAACCGTGTTTGCTGTAACCAGCAGTGACTGCTCATAAAATCACACGGCTTCACCGAGCACAATTCTGTTTGTAGAACTGGGCTGTTAACTAATTTATGGTGCGTTTATATTGATCTGGGTGCCTGTGGACTCCTGTAGACACTTACCTATTAGGTTCAGATTCTTCTTAGTGAATTTGCCCCCCACTTATTCTATGAAACAGCTGCAAGCAGAGATGAGATCATTAACTGTCCGGTTAAAAAAAGCAGGTTGTTTCAACATTTTCAGAATCTAAAGCCAAAGTCTGCAGGAAATAGTTCACAAAGACGATCTGTAGATCATCACAGGAGTGGTTGATGAGCAGATGTGTACTTGCAATGTGCAGAATTTTTAAATCTAGCTCGACAACAATGCCTTTGCTGAGCTGCAGTGCTCGTGTTGCAGAGTGTGTGTGATTGTGTGTATCCAGAGCTTTCTACTCGAACCGTTGGAGGAGTGCGAGCCACAGCCAGGACACCACAACACAGACATGAAAGCTACCTTTGCTCCCCCTGAGACCACACTGAAGCACATTTGTTTGTCCTACAGGGTACACTGTGGCCCTATTTGTCTCGTTATACTTCAACACTCTAAATACTCAAATACAGCCCCCTCAAAACATCCACTTTATTCTTCCTCTTGTTCTGCTTGTATACATTTAAAAAAGCTCTTGACCTCATTTCTTTTTGTATGACAGTGAAGCATTTGTTGTCTCGGTTAAGTACTGCCTGCAAGCTGAAGTGCAAGAGTCGACATGAGGCGTGGGTCTCCCCCTTTAGCCGCTGCTCCCACCAGGATCACAAGCGGCGCATGTGCAAACAGCTAATAAACAGAAAAATGTAGGTCACATAGATGGATTTGAATACACGTACAGGAACAAACAAAGGGCCACTGATGTCTTGATTTTATGCAACAACAGCCACAGGCAAAAAAAAAAAAAAAAAAGATTAATTTTGCATGAGTTTCAATTTCTACTCCCCCCCCCACCACTTCATTTCAATAAGGCATTCAAACACCAGACTTGCTTTTATTAGTTATGAAGCTGTTTTATGGAATTATTTTTGACTCTATATGGCATGAATGGATGTTATTGCAAAATGTTTTGCCCCCTTATATCCACAGAATATATATTCAATTTTTGTTGTTGTTGTTCTATAGACTCAGCTTTTCGCTGGCCTTTATTTGTAATGTATATTTCCAGTTGATTGACAGCATTCAGTGTATTTCATGTTGCAAGAACTCCGATCTTTGTTCTGTACACAAATGGTTTCTTATTTACTTTAGGGGATTGCCACAACAGTTTCCACATGTTTTTTTTTTTTTGATACATTTTTTTTTTTTTTTTCTGCCTTCTTTGCAGCCTGGGTGGGGGCCCTGGCCATGGGCATGATCTTCCTCTGCTCCCCTGTGGTCAGCATGTTCACTGACCACTTCGGCTGTAGGAAGACGGCCGTCAGCGGGGCGGCGCTGGCTTTTATAGGACTGCTCAGTACATCATTTGCAAAGTAAGACACTTTGGCTAAAGACATTGCAAAAACAGCGCTCCAGTAGAAATTAATTTATTAAATTTAAAGTTAAGTTAAAGTAATTTCAGCTTTATATAATGAAATCGCTTTTCTCTTGGCCATAAGTGGAAAAGAAACAGAAAGACAAAAAAACAAAAGAAGGAAAGGAATTTGATGCAAAGATGAGTCTAAAACCCCTCAAACTAATAGTTCGGCTCTTTTGAAGCGAGCTTTAGTGAAAAGATAATAAACAATATCTTTTTGTAGATTGCTCTTAACAAGCTCAGGTTGAAGCAATACTGACTGAACTGAGGAGCTGAAGGCTAGTCCAAGTGGGGCCAAGACCAAAGTAAATTGCTGCCACCATAAAAAACATTGTAGCCATACTCCAAAAGACTTATGTACTTTTTAACTTTAATGACTTTTTATAATTGTTTATTGTGGTTGCTGTTGTCCATTGTTGTCATCTTTCTTTGTTGAAATCAGGTCTCTCTTGTAAATGAGTCCTCGAGGCTCAATGAGATTTACCTGTCTAAATAAAGGTTGATGGATCAAATCTTTAACAATTTATTCAAAGTGAGGAAGGTATATTCAGCCACATTAAAAGCGCTACGAACTAACTTTCTCTGTCATTTGAAAACAAGCAAAACGGCTGTAAATTACTAAACTAAATTCTTTAATAATGGTGAAATAGCTTAATTTTAGTCTAGTTACGTGAAACGGTTGAAATCAAGCTGGTAATTTTTGCAATAATTTTCCAGTAATAGTGATGCAACAACAAACCAACTGGTTTCTATAGTCAATAAACAACTGTGTATTTTCTGGTCTTACATTTTGAAATGTCCCTTTTTTTGCAGGTCTTTGGTCCTTCGCTACTTCACATATGGGATAGTGTTTGGTTGCGGCTCCTCGTTTGCCTTCCAGCCCTCGTTGGTAATCCTCGGGCACTACTTCCGGCAGCGCCTGGGCCTGGCCAATGGCGTGGTGACGGCCGGGGCCAGCCTCTTCACCATAGGCCTGCCGGTCTTTCTGGACAAAGTCCGCGAGCCTCTGGGTCTCAGCGGAACCTTCCAGATTCTCAGCCTCTTTATGCTGGTCCAGGCCCTGCTTGCCTTGACATTCAAACCTTTGCTTCCCGCTGGTGGAGGCATGGGCCCACCAGGCATGGGGCCTGGTCCTGCTGAATCCCGAACCCAGGCTACAGGGAGCACGAGTAAATGGAGCAAGGCCATGACCAGGGTTAGGAAGTACTTCAACCTGCGTGTGTTTCACATTGTGACGTACCGGGTGTGGGCGTTCGGAGTAGCAACAGCCATGTTGGGATACTTTGTTCCCTATATCCACCTGGTAAGAACATCTGACTGTTTTTTGTTTTGTTTTTGTTCTTCGTCAATAAGTTTAAGAAACCTCTTTGTATATAAAGTTTCAAGATGCATTATTTTTAATTCTATTCGTTGTACAAAATCAGCTTAAAATTCTAATTGAAGTGTACAAATATAAATCAGAGATGAGGCATAGAATCAGTACTTTGGGTACCATGTTAAGAAGGACAGATTTGGTTTGCTTGTTTCAGCTACAGTAGTCCCCCACTTATCGCAAGTGTTACGTGCCAGACACGCGATAGGTGAAAATCCGCATACTAGGGACCTTATATTTATTTTAGTATTTATATATATATATATGTATGTATATGTATATATGTATATATGTGTATATATATATATATATATATATATATATATATATATATATATATATTAAGGCTTTATAAACCCTTCCCACACGCTTGCAATGTTTTTAACAATATTCTAAACTTGCTAAATGCTTTAAAAGAGCACAGTGAAAGAGAGCAGACAGACTGATACTACAGTTACTTAGCCAGGCATGGGGGTGGACTGGCCATCATGAGCACCGGTACATTTCCCGGTGGCCTGGCCCGCTCAGTGATCACCAAGGGGCTGGACCAAAGGCTCAGTTGGAATCACACTTGATTATTTTAAACAAATAATCCATGCCGCTCACTCTGGTATCCGCACAACAAGTTATGCACCTGCCTGTTGTGCACCTGCCTGTTGTGTGTCTCTACTCTGCTGTGACAGACAGCCTCAGAAAGAGAAAGGAGGGGTGGGGTCTGTCTTTCCCCATCGCTACTGCTCAAGGATCTTCAGTGAGGCGGATACCTGAGTGAGCAGTATGGATTGTTCATTTAAAATAATCAAGCGCGACCCAAACTGAACCTTTGGTCCAGCCCCTTGGCGATCCCTGAGCGGGCCAGGCCACCAGGAAATGTCCTGGTACTCCCAATGGCCAGTCCGCCCCTCAGCACATTGCTCTGGTTGATCGCCTTCCATCAATCAGCCGATTGTGTGTCGTGTAAAATCTTATGTTGAAAAACTGTGAAAGAATGAGTCCACAAAAGTCGAACCGCAAAGTATCGACGGACTACTGTACATGACATGGTTTGCTTGAATAGGTGCTATGTTTGTACTTTTCTAAGCGTTTTCCTATAGCACATATCTATGCTTTAGGATTTAAAAGTATTCATTAAAGGGAAAAAAAGTAAAACTTATAAAGATAAATATTAAAAAAATATTCAATACAAAAACAAAAAAAGATAATACAAAATACAAAAAAAAAATACAAAAAAAGATAAATATAGTTACTATTTTTGGAATAGTATACTGCTTGATTTGTTAAACCATGTTACCATACATTTATAAATTCTTGACTCTTTTTTTTCCCAGACATCACAGATTTGTTTTATTTCTCTCGTTCCCATGATGTAGCTTAGATTTCCAGCTGACTTCCAGTGCCATGTTTTTTTTTCTCATTAATAGAACATGACATTATTTTTCATTAAAGATAATTATTTTCTTCTTCAACTGACCTTTAATAATGTAATGATGAAAGAAGTCCAGTCATTCTGTCAAACAGATCCACAATTCCGCCTTTTGTAATTGGTAGAAAATTCAAGTTTTGCACAAAGTTCACTTGACATATGAGTGACACTGAAGTGGGATAGTTCAGAATAAGAATGAAGACAGCTGGAACACTGAGTTGTGAAGTTGATTTCTCTCCATCCAGATGTCAGCTGTTCCAGCTCCGGCCTCCCTCTGGCCAGCCTGTTGTTTCAGGCCCGAGTCCAGATGTAAACACAGCCCCGGCCTTTGTATCGGCTCCACCACCTCAGGAAACTTCTCCTGTATGGCCTCTCCGTATCCCCAAACATGCTTATCTTATAGCCACTGATGGATGTAGAGCTCTTCAAAGCAGAGCAAATATTTCACAAGAACTAGGTGGTTCAGGAAAGACTTCAGAGGGCGGTCTTATGTTTTGGGTCTGGTTTGAGGGGGTGGTGGCTAAAGGGAACGGGAGAATCTGATCTATACGCGTTGGGTCTTCCTGTCCTGCGGCTCCAAAGGCCTGTTGATGAAGACATGTCAATGTTGTTGTACGCCCTTGATTTAGGGTTCTGGGTGAACAGTTCCTCCTTTCAACCACATTGATTTTGCAGGTGTGGAGCAGAAAAAATGTTGAAAAGTAGCCGATCAAAACATCACGTGGCAAAGCCACGTTGTCCACCTTTACAAAAATAAGCACTTTGAATTTGCTTTTGCTTTACTGTTTTTGTACAACTGTTGTTTTGCATTTCAGATGAACTTTGTGAAGGAGACGTTCGGAGAACTTCAAAAGGAGTGGGTGCTGCTGGTTTGCATTGGAGCTTCGTCTGGCGTTGGACGCCTTGCTTTTGGGAAAATTGGTGACCTCATTCCTGGTTTGCAGAAGATCTACATGCAGGTGAGGGAATGACAAATACTTTGCTTGTGACAGGTCAGATTTTTTTCCCCCCAATGGCTGGCCTATTTTTTGCAACAAAAAAAAATGTCATTGTGCGATTTTTTTCATTCATGTCCTAGACCAGTTGTTTCCCAAATCAGTGGTTCCCAACCCTGGTCCCTGAGGAACACCATCTTGCATGTTTTAGTTGTTTCCTCTTTGACACACCTGATCTGAATGAATGGGTGAGCAACAGGCTTCTGCAGAAATTGATGAAGTAATTCAATCACTGAATCAGGTGGGTTCGTGCAGGGAAACAACTAAAACATGCAGGAAAGTGTTCCTCGAGGATCAGGGTTGGGGTCCACTGCCCTAAGTTGTGCTCTGAACCTCACTTTAGGTCATGAAGCATCAAGTGAGATGAAGATCTTCACAAATCCCAAAAGATATATAAAAACAGGTTTCTCATGGTATATTTTCACCATGATTGGTACAGAGAATAGATACAATATTCATAAATTATTAAAAACAGTGTAGTAGTGGGTAAAGCTGTTTGTTGTCATTATGTTGATATTGTTTAATAGGATTATTATAAACATTTAAGTGTTACAGTTTGAGACTGTTGTGCTCTGGTCTCAAGTAGAGGTTTGGGTTTCCTATAAGTGACTTTTTGACTGATCAGGATTTGTCTTCTTTAAGTTGGTCCAAAATGCTGCTGCCAGAGTCTTAACTGGAGTTGGTGGGAGAGATCATATCTCTCCAGTTTTGGCTTCTCTCCACTGGCTCCCTGTCAAGTTCAGAATTGAAGTCAAAATCTTACTTCTAACCTACAAAGCTCTCAACAACCTAGCTCCATCTTATATTGCAGATCTTATTGTTCCATATTTTTCTAAAAGAGAACTTCGCTCTCAGACTGCAGGCTTACTTGCGGTTCCTAGAGTTTCCAAAAGCAGAATGGGAGGAAGATATTTCAGTTCTCAGGCTGCTTGTGGAACCAACTTCCAGTTTCTGTCCATAAGGCTCACTCATTGTCCAGTTTTAAGACTGGTCTTAAGACTTTCCTTTCTGATAAATCCTATAGTTAGGGTTGGCTTGTTATGCTGTCAAAGGCTTAGACTACTGGAGGACAAATTAACCTTGTTTCCTTAAATTAATTGTTAGAATAGAATATTTTTCATTTGATAATATTACTATCTTTACATGATTCTCGACCTGCCATTGTGTATCTGTTCCTCCTTCCTGTTCCTCTCAAACTCAGCCAGACGAAGCAGATGGCCGCTTGTGGTTCTGCTAAAGGTTTCTTCTTCACGAGGGAGTTTTTCCTTTCCACTGTTGCCTTCATGCTTGCTCAAGATGAGAGTCTGCGATGAAGCTAAACTCAAAGCAGTCTGCTCCTCAAATAAATAACGTCATTAAATTACTTTTAATGTTTATGGATGTTTCTGTTCAGTGCCCTGAGATGGCTTCTGTTGTGACTTGGCGCTATATAAATAAACTGAATTGAATTCATCTTTGTTGCTTTAAGTCAGCGTGAAAGCATGCGTTATTTCAAAATTATTTTTTCTATTTTAAAAATGGAACATCATAAGTATATATTTTTTTCTGACTGCCTTGCAGAAGAACTAAAGTGACCATATACAGTGTGTGGAATTGATTTGATGTTTCTAGATGTGTCCTGGAAGGAAATGGAGCGTTGCAGGATTGGACTTAATATGAGCAGATTTTATGTCTTCAATGACTTGAATATGTATTAATAACAATAAAAAAACTTTGATCCCTTGCACTTAAATAATGTTTTTTTGCAGAAGCATAATATCCAATACCAGGGATCTTCAACTAAATTTGCTCAAGGGCCAGATTGTTTCTAAGCGGTGTCTGACTAAATTTGTTCTAAAAGGGAAAGTTTTGTAGATGTGTAAACGTTGTGGTGGTTGTCAAATACAAATCTAAGATTTATCTGAGACTATCAAAGACAAAACAAAGTCTGGATTTGAACTTATGTCATCTCACCATTTTCTGCCTGCCGAGCCGACCGGCCACAAATTTTCAAAACACTAAACTGTCCGACCTCCTGCTGCTTTATTTGAGTGTCTGAGTCTGGCTCTGATCACATGCACTGAGTGAGCGCTCTGATAGGCTAAGGCATGATCATATTTATCCTTTTCTAAGCTTGTAGTAGAACTGCTTCATAGATCATCTAGTTATTATTATTTTTTTATTGGTTTGCAGGCTGGATTGACTACCACAGCTTTAATTTGATCCGTGTGTATACTGATATTTTCCTTAGTGATGAGAGGATTTTATTTCAAACTAATCACGATCATTAAACATGATTTACGTGTTAATCTCTCACAAACATATTGTTCCAGGATGAAAATCAGCTTTACTGTAGCCAAAAGATTATGTGGCTGATTATTGGCGCTTATTGTCCACTTCTAGTTTCACTCACGTGAAACTGGGTGACTTGTTCAAACAGCCTGTTCTTGTTATAAAAAAAACATAAAATCGTGAATAACTTTAGTGTTTCTTTGCGGTATTATTATTGTTACTAGTAGTAGTATTTATGCCTGGTTAAATAAAGGTGAAATTTAAAAAAGTATTAGCCATTTGGATTATGTATATGTTTGCAGTGTAGAAAATTGTTTTTTATATAAATGGAAAGCCTTCTGTCTTCATCTACCACTCAGATGTCGTAAGAGTTATTTCTTGTGAAGGCTTTTAGCTCATGGAGACGCCCCCCCCCCCTTCACAGTTCATAGTTTGGAGCTTATTGTAATTGGAAGATATTAGACGACTGGATATTTGAGCTCAAAGCACTGATATAAATACCACCCATCCTTTAGATGTGATTTGAATGTATCATATTCCAGTTTTATATTTCTTTATCTTTGACTCACAACTTGTACATCGTCAGCCATGGGGGTGGTGGGACGAGGACTAATCCACACAGCTTTTGGAATCATTTAGGCCACACACATGTATTACATTGTCGATTTGAATTAGATTTAGTTTGGCACTGAAAACGTCTGTGTGAACCCGGCTCACTGACTCTGTGCGGTGATTCTATTACAATAAATGAGATTAAACATAGTGAGTGATACTCCAAGAAAAGAGACGTTCCAGATGTTGAACATATGTTCTTCCTTCTGCTACAGGTGGTGTCCTTCATAGCTCTGGGTCTGATGTCCATATTGATTCCTCAGTGCTCGGCGTTTGAAGGTCTTGTGGCTGTGTGTGTGTTCTTGGGGCTTTGTGACGGATGCTTCCTCACCATGATGGCTCCCATCGCTTTTGAGCTGGTCGGGCCCATGCAGGCGTCGCAGGCTATAGGTTACCTTCTAGGCCTCATGGCTGTCCCTATGACTGCAGGTCCACCCATCGCCGGTAAGAATCACTTTGTTTTAATTTAATTTATTTAGATGATTGACAAACACACACACCAAAGCTTATGGATAATGACAGAACAGTAGAAAAGGGAAGAAAATGCGTTGACAGTAAAATCAGAGCGTCGGATCAATACACATCAGGATATTGGCGACTGCGTTTAAAGACGTTTGGGCTTGTGGCCAACTGCGTCTGTCTCCAGGGATTTGTGTTCAGGAAAACAGCACATATGAGGCCAGAAGTCACCACTCAGCTCCCATCAGAAGAGCTGCTTTTATCTTTGTCTCTCAAATAACAACCACAGAACACCAATTTGATGATTCAGACTTCGTTCAGCTCTCTCTTACCATAGATACAGTACCTGAATACCTTTTTGTTTAATTACACATCACTCTTTTTCTTCTTTCAAGCCTTTACAACCTCAACAAACACAGTAAATCTCTTAGAATCAAAATATTGTGTTTAACCTAGGCTCCTGTGTAAAGTACAGCACACAATACATTTAGTATAAAAAATTTTTTCAATAGTCTATTATTTTTATTACAAAAACTGCATTTTGCACAAAACACAAATAAATTGCTGTTTGAAGAGGAGCGCTCACTCCCTGCAGAGAATGTGTGGAAAATTTTCAAACAAAAAAAACATGCAAGAAAAAAGTCAAAATATCTCATAACAGTGAAACGTCTAAGGAAAATGATTGAAGAGATTGGAAATGCTTTATTGATTTGAAAGTTGCTTTCAAAGTAAAGAAAGTTCTTCAAATTGTTGTAGGAAATAAAAGCAACACAAATCAGTAAAAACTTGACTGTTAAAACTTTTTAAAGCCTTTAAACTAGCTGGGAACAAGTAAACTATAGAAATCACATTTCCTGTGAAAGTGCAGTGTGAATGCTTATTGCAGAAGAACTTGCTGAAAAACTTCTGAAATAGCAAAAAAAACATGCTGTAATATAGCTGAAATGAAAGAACAAGCATAAATTAACAGAAGAAAGCAGAAAGATCACATATTTGCTGAATTAGGTTTGAATAAGAAATGAGCACAAAAATTAGGAAATCAGCTAAAAAAAGCTAAAATTATCATAAAACATCTAAAAAGTAGCAGAAAAGGCAGAAAGAAGCTTAACTTACGAGAAAGAAGTGGAAAGAGCTGAAATGAGCTAAAAAATGTGGAATTAGTTGAAAAATCTAAAATGTGCACAAAAACAGCTAAACGGTAGCTGAAAAAGAAAAATCTGAAAAAAGCTGAAAGGAGCTAAACAAGCTGAAATTAGCAGAAAGAAGTTAATTATGCTGAAAGTAGCAGAAATAATCAAGAAAAACTTGAATTTGTCTGAAAACAGCTGAAATTAGCTAAAAAAATCTAAAAAGCTAGCTGAAATGGTAGAACAAGCTGAAATTAGCAGAAGAAAGCAGAAAGAACACATTTGCCGTTAGGCTGAAAGAAACAGAAATTAACACAAAAAGTAGAAATAATCTGATAAATGCTGAAATTAGCAAAAACAAGGGAAAAGTAGCTAAAAAAAATTCAGAAAGAAACTGAAATTACAGGAAGTGGAGAGAGCACATTTTTGCTAAATTAGGCTGAAACTAGTTGAAATGAGTGTGAAAAATGTGGAATTTGCTGAAAAGGCTTAAATTAGCATAAAACAGCTAGCATAAAATAGTAGCAGAAATAGTATTAAAAGCTGAAACTTGCATAAATAAGCTGAAAGGAGCAAAATGACTAAAAACAGCTGAAAATGAGCTGAAAGTAGCTGAAAAAAGTTTACATTTGCACAAGGAAGCTGAAAGAAGCTGAACCAGAACAAACTGTGAAAGGAGCAGTAACATGTTTAAACAGATCTAAAGATTTGAAGGATGTAAAATGAGCTCAATTCATTTTCTATGAGGAAAAAAATGGCAGAGAAGGCTAAATATTTCAAAAAGCTAAAGTTGCACCAATACCAAAAGTCATAGCAGGATTGTCCTGAAAGAGCTGAATGTTTTGATTTATGATTTGTTGAAATAGTTAGAAAACTGCAAGACAAGAATTGTGCAGAAAAATGCATGGAAGAAAAATGGATAGTGTGAACGCTTCATAAACATTCACACAAAAATGTTGATGAGGCAACGTTTAAAGTTAACAAGACAGAAAAACATACAAATGTCCTCCTCTGACTCCACAGGTATTCTTCGTGATTTCTTTGGCAACTACACAGTTGCGTTCTCCCTGGCGGGGGTCCCTCCTATGATTGGGGGCGTGGTGCTGTTCTTTGTGCCCCTGATACACTGCCGGCTCCAGCGAGGCCAGGCGCCGCCTGAAGAGACGTCCACGACCTCCCACATGTTGCCCAGTGCCCCACCAGCAGGGGAACCCAAGAGCTGCTTCAACGGAGACCTCCTGCCCGGCTACACGGACGTAGAGACCCACATCTGAGTCACATCTTCAAGGTTTCTCCCAGCTCTTGTGTTTATGACTGTAATAAAACTGCCAGTTCATTGATTCATAAATATTCCGTTTCCCTTTGCTTATTTTGCAGGGATTCAACCCACCAGCACTTTTCTCATCCTTTGATTGCCTGTTTCTCTAACTGAAGCCTCAGCTGGAGGCTTCCTGTTGGCTTACTTTAAAATCTCTCATCCTTCCAAATCCCTGCCGGCTGTTTTGCTTTTTTTCACGCAAGGAGAAGACGAGAAGCGGGCTCTGACTAAAAGCTTCAGGTGCATCAGCGTTGGATGATGAGGAGGATAAGCACATGTTCTCAACTCGAAGCATTTTATGATGACACAAAGGAAAAAAAACTGAATGGCCATCTATATTTGCATCATTTATCTTTCTATCAGCTCTGAAGCTGTAAAAAAAAGGACTTTTTATTTTATTCTGTACACGAACACATTAAGATGAAGTGAGAAGTAGTAAAAGGTTAAGTAGAAAATTCTTTATCCAGTACCTCATACATTTAGGGTTTTAACACGTTTTGTTTAGTCTCTGTGTTTCCAATACCCAGTCCTATCTTCTTTAATATGCAGGAATGTCAACTTTCTTCTACTGCCTGTTCTTTATGCTGTGACAGCTACAAGAGAACCTTGCACATCTTTTGTAAATGTCACAGGAATTAATTATTCCTCCAACAGGTGTGCCGACCACACGACGACCTCAGCTCATCTACACAAGTTTTAGCTCCTGGTTCAATTCTGCACTCAGAGTCGGGGTCGGTGCGACTTTGATCTCTTTGCCTGCGGGGCAGACAGGTGTGGTTGTAGTCGCTGTTAATTTCACAGATGTTGCATCGTTCCACTTCTGTCTTCTCAGTTTTGATTAGACAAAGTTTAAAACAGGTGACCTTTTGCCGCCTGAATAAGTGGAAAGCTGATTGACGGTTATTCTGCAGAGCAACGCCACAGTATTCTTAGCCCTTTAATGCATTTGAAGCATTTTAAACCAGTCTACTTTGCCTGCTTTTATACAGCTCTGAAAATGGTTATCAGTGCACTTGTGCTTTGTGAACACCAGTTTTAAGAAACAGAATGGCTGTCGCTACAGTGCAAGCAGTTTTGGTCAAACCGCGGGAAAATAATTTTCATATTTATGTTGAAACTTTCTCTTTGTTTAAATGTGTGCAATGTTATGTGTCTGCATCTACATTTGGAAACAGTTTGAGATGTTTGGCCGCAACAAATTACTGAAGGTCGGTGAAGAACTGGTTAGCGGGAGTGCGCTGGTGAAGATTCTCAGTCGTCCAGGACATGGTAAATTCAACAAAGCTCAAGACGAAAAACAAACAAACTGGACTTTATTTGTAGCAGAAGACGTTTCGCGTCTCATCCGAGGAGCTTTCTCAACTCAAAGAACAGAGTGTGTGGGGTTCGCGTTATAAAGCTGAGGTAAGATACATGCGTATGCAGATTGCCCTTTCAATCCTCACAATATGGGTTTGTTAGGGTCTTTGTTCTGACTCACAGAGGAGCCACTCTGGTCACGTGGATGAAATTTCTGATAGGAGTGAAAATGGCTGGGTATCAGGCGTAAAGTTGCATTGTAGGTTTTAGAGAGTTGAAATCCGAGTCCTCCTCCTCTGTTTAAAGATGGTTTCTTTCTTTTTACATAAATAGGTTCCTTCACCCCCCTTCTCAAACCCTCTGTCTTCTTGGTCCAAAATGTGAACATTAGGGTCCTCAAATGATTGTAGGTATAGGTGAACCACAGAGTCTTGTCCTGAAGACCCTAACAAACCCCTATTGTGAGGAGTGAAAGGGCAATCTGCATATGTATCTAGCTTAGCTCAGCTTTATAACTCGAACCCCACACACTCTGTTCTTTGAGTTGAGAAAGCTCCTCGGATGAGAAGCGAAACGTCTTCTGTTGCAAATAAAGTCCAGTTGTTCTTTGTCTTAGAACTTTTTTGAATTGTTTAGAGGGGGTTTTAAGGAATCTGGGGAAAAAAAGGCAGTCAGTTCTTAAAGCTTTTTATCAACTTTGAGATGGTTTCACAGCTGAGTCAGAGCTTTGCTGGTCCCAGTATGCAGTTAGAATGTGAAGCAGGCAAATAAAGAAAGTGAAAGGGTGGCTGGGTTATGGGTGCTGAAAGCTCTGATGCACAGAAGGAGCGAAGGCTGGCCATGGGGTGCACCGAAGAGCTACTGTATCATTTCATGCAGTGGTTCCCAACCCTAGTCCTTGAGGGACACCATCCTGCATTTTTTAGTTTCTCTGCTCCTACACACCTGATTCAGTGGTTTAATTACTTCATTAAGTTTGGCAGAAGCCTGTTAGTCACCCTTTCATTCAAAGCAGGTGTTGGAGCAGAGGAAAACTAAAACAAGCAGGGTGGTGTTCCTCAGGGACAGGGTTGGGAACCACTGAAATGTAATGATAAGTCAGCTCCAAAAGACGGAACGCACATGAAATTCAAGTTCAATGTTTTAGAACAGAGTTGCCATGCCGACTTCTATCCTCCACTGAGACAATGAGCAGACGTGACAATCAAACCTGTCCTGTCTGATGAATCTGTTGCTCCAATCCTTGTTAATCTGAGTCAAACATGGCAGCAGGAGACAGTTTAGGTCCTTGTCATTCTGTGGTCCAGCTGGGAAACAAGAGGATGCTGCGGTGATAGCTCACCTTACTGTGACACGTCCTGCTTCAAACAGTGGCCTCTCTTAAAGCGGGACAGTTCTCCTTGTCGCTTCGCCAGAATGTAAATGAATGTTGGATATACTTAACAAAATGGACGGCACAGGACTCATAGTTTGATGGGTTTTGTTTATCTGAGAGCGACATTTGCAATATTAATCAGGATATTAGTGTATGTGAATTGATGATGGGGCAACAACCAAGCAGAGAGCTGCCAAAAGCCCCCACTGAGCCCCCTGTTCGATAATCCAGTCAATCTGCTGCTTTTTGAGGGACCACTCACTGTTCCGACAGTAATGAAACAAAAACTATTGTAGCCTCGTTGACCTTAAGAGAAGAGTCTGAGTTATTTATTCTTTTTTTTTTTTTTTTTTTTTTGTAGAAACGTTTGGACCACTCACTCCTGCAGCCTTTCATTACAAGTTCTGAATGATGAGCTTTGATATGTAAAGCAGAGCTGCAGTAATTTACTGCATGAGTTATATTCTGGCTGACTGAACAACAAGTGGGAAGGTAGGACAAGAGAAGGAGCAGGTGCTCCTTTTTTCCTGCTCCTCTAGCATTGTTCAGTTTTGACACAGCAGCTCGGAGCCTGACGGCTGCACCACCAGCTCAGTGTAGCTGGGAGTTCTGCTATTCATTACGCAGTTCTAAGAAATTTATACCTCGGTGATCAACTATTCCCAGAAATCCAGTTACACATGTTCTACATTTTGCAACTTCTTTTGGTTTTGTTGTTGCTGTTTGGTGGTTTTTTTGGTTGTGATATTTGAGCTACAGCTTTGACAAATGCCTGTTGTCAGTCTGACTTGCTAACTCCTAAACCTTTTTTCAACCACTTCCCAACACATGGGGAAATGTTGCACACATCTATACCAGCACATATTTCTGTTCTGCTATTCTACCAGACTTTTTCTTCATTGCTGCTTCACCTCTTCTTATACGCTGAAGAGCTGTGGCTTTGTCGCCTGTCTTTTCAGAAAGCCTTTTCATGTTCGTACCTGGCGTGAAAAACAAACACTTGGTTAAATCTCTGATATCTTTGACTAAAGTTGGTGGAGGAACAAGATTACAAACAAATACATCGGCCTCTAGTTTGACTAAGTTTTGCTTAGGTTTTGCCAGCAATGCAGCAGGTGTTCAAGTTAGTAATAGCAAATAAAAATGTTTAAATTTACTTTTTGCCACCTAAATAGGCAATGCAATTAATATTTCAGATGACTGAGTTTAAAACGATAGATCAGGATTTTCAAACTGGTTTTTTTTTAAGTTATGTGCAATCAATATTTTACCTGCTGTATAGTTTTTCAGTTGGTCTCAGTTTGGAGAAATAAAGTTTAATTTTGACCATCTTGATGAGCTAATAGCTAGTTTGAGTGGGGCTGAGACCAAACTAGTCTCTTTAATTTTTTATTTTTTTTAATCAGCTTTAATTTCAAATGCTGCATAACTCATACAACTTTTTTTTTTTTACTTTTACATTGCTGTCAATGTTGCATAACTTTATTTTGATCGATTTCTATGATTTTTTTTTGCTGGTGCAAATGGCTGCAGTAGCAGCTGGTTGTAGTGCTTCTTGAAGCATTTCAGGTCAGGTCAGGTTTGGTTTATTTGTCATATGCAAAAATCAACACAAGGTCAACAATGCAATGAAATGCTGAGGACAAGAAGAACCATCTCGACTCACCAAAAAAACAACAAGAAAGACCAAAGCATACAGCAAAAATACTAAAACAATGCACCAAAAGTAAAAAAGAAATACATCTACAGTGTGGTTCGGTTAGCAGTGAGCGTCTTTCAGCAGCATGGTTCTGTTAGCGGCGTGGTCTTGTTAGCATGTCCCGTTAGCAGCTTGATGGTAATAAGGACCAGCAGCAG